AATAATAATAATAATAATAATAATAATAATAATAATAATAATAATAATAATAATTTTTATTGTCATTGTAAGTATATACACAGTATACCCATACAACGAAATTCACAATGATGGGCTGAGCCTGGCAGCAACATCCATACTATATGTCTGGCAAGAGATTATGGTTGGCCTACACAAACTAACATCAAATAAGCTAAACAAAGCACCTAAGCCTTATATTGAGAATAGAGTGGTGATCCTTGTGTCACCAAAAAGGAAGGATCGCCAAAAGGGATTGTGCCCACTGATGTCAATCAACAAACATAGTGTGATACATATGATTTTGTGTGTGCTGCATCATCATCATCATCATCATCAGACATGGTCAAAATTATAAAAAACATTGACTGGTATTATATAACAGGTATAGGTTTTAATGAAAAGCTGTTAAATATCTGCACAGTATGTATGCCGTTCCTAATATTGCTGTTTTTTGTAGCTCTGATTGTGTGATTTCTGAGATCTGCAACTGCTTATAGTACTGTGTGCAGTTTCTTGATATTGTTCCCAAAGCCCCAATAACTATGGGGGCCACTGAAGTGTTTTTCATCCACAATCAAGATCTGTCAGATCTCATGTACTTTGTTAGTTTTTCCAATTCTTTATTTTCAACTCTGGCATCCCCTGGAATTGCAATGTCAATGATCCAGACATTTCTTCATTCTATTACTACTATGTCTCGTGTGTTATGTTCAAGTTGTCTTATCAGTTTGTATCCGGACATCCCACAAGATCTTGACTTCCTCATTTTATGATACCCTTTCTACCTGATGTTCCCACAGGTTTTTGAAGGCTGGCAAGTTATATTTTTTACATAATGACTAGTGCACTAATTTTGCAACTCTATTACATCTAATTTTGTAATCTATTTGTGCAATCTTTGGACATTCACAGATGAGGTGTGACACAGTTTCATCTTTTTCTTACAGAATTGACATTTGCTGTTAACACTAATTCCTTGGATCTTAGCTTTCATCACGTTGGTTTGGAGTGCTTGTTCTTGTGCAGCAGAAATCAAGCCTTTGGTTTCTTTCTTAAGGGTCCCCATGCTTGTGTTGAATTATGATGATGCTTTCCATCAATATTTCTCAGGTGTTCTCCATGTAGTGGTTTATTTTTCAAGCTGTTTTATTTATTTTCAAATTGTTGTTTCTTATGTTGAGACTTTGTTTCTGTTGTTGTTGTTTCTGTTTCTGTTGTTGCAGTTTTAATGAGTTCCAAATGTCTTTTTAATAGTTTTAACAAATAGTTTTAATTCTGGTTGTTGTAGGTTTTTCGGGCTATATGGCCATGTTCTGAAGGTTGTCCTTCCTAACATTTCACCAGTCTCTGTGGCCGGTATCTTCAGAGGACAGGAGTCAGAACTCTGTCTGTGCTCTGGTGCAGTTTGTGGGATAGTTGAGTATTTATAGCTGTGGGATCAGCTTTTTGTCCTTTTCAGGAGATTGGGTGATTATGGTGATCAGCATGTTTTTTGTTATGGATGTATTGTTGTGATAAGGGGAAGAGATGATCTGTCACTGTGATTGATGGGTGTCATTAGCTGGTCTTTTGTGTGCAGTGATCACTGGTCCTTGTGGCTGGGTAGAGTTCGTTGACCTTTTGCAGGCTGTATTTTTCAGTGCTGGGAGCCAGGCTTTGTTGAGTTTTAGATATTTTTTTTGTTGAAGTTCTGCTGGTGTTCGTGGATTTCAATGGCTTCCCTGTGCAGTCTAACATAATGATTACTGGTGTTGTCCAGTACTTCTGTATTTTGAAGACTGGCGAAACGTGAGGAAGAAAAAAAAACCCTCAGAACATGGCCAAACAACCCGCAAAACCTACAACAACCATTGGATCCCAGCCGTGAAAGCCTTTGAGAATACAGTTTTAATTCAGTTTATGTTTAATTGCTTTTAATGTCGTATATCATTGTAGTTCAAATTTGCTTGCTATTGGTTCTGGTTAACTTGTGATCCACCTTGGGTAAAGGTGGCATAGAAATGTAAATAAATAAATAGGAAATAGGGTGCTTCTGTTTGAGTCTTTTATTACACAAACTCCTTTTCTTTCACATGGAACTCTATAGAGAGATTTAGCAATCTTTCATTTGTAAACTGTGTAAATTCACCAGGCTACTTTTGAAGAAGCAAAGGAAAAATAGAATGACAACAATGTATTTTAACTGAGAGCTCTTCGGTACTGCTTTCAATCTTGGAAAAAACCTACACTACCACTATCAGTCTTTTTCTCCTCAAAAGATTTGGTGAGGTTTTGTAACTCTTGCTATTTGTTTTATTTATTTAAAATGTTTTTACTGTACCATGCCTTTCTCCTTAAAAGGGACCCAAGGTGGCTTACATAATTGAAAAACAGTATTTAAAACTTAAAACAATAAGTATACAACAGTTGATTGCACTATTAAAAGATAATAAGCACGTGTAGTACTAAAGACCCAGTCAGAGCATTAATGCATAACTATCCATCCCAAAGTCATTCATTCATGAATGAATTTATTTATTACGGTCGGGTGACCAGTTCGTAAAACATATTATATAGGTAAAATATACAAAATGCAGTTTGAAAAGTGTACAACAGATACTTGATTGTGTACTAGTTATAATATATGGGGAGAATCAGTTACAGCATTTTATAGCTATCATTTGAACCACTGGATTGTCTAGGGCAAACTGGTTTGAACAGGGGCTTTGGGGTATAGGGAGTCCTTCCTACATATTTGTAAATATTTGTAAACATTTCATCCCTTCGGCTGGGACCACAAAATTTCTCTACACGCAACAATAAACCACCCTCATGCTAAAACCAGTCAACCTGTGACCTCAGGAGACTATAAGCGAGTGCTGTGCCATTGCTGCTGCACAACATTTTGTTGCAGAGTGTGTAATAAGTGAGTCTTGTTTAGAAAGAAGTAGCTTGATGTAAAATTCATCAGGTCTCCCTGGATCCTTCAATGAATCTGGAGGTTGACTAAGTTCTCTGTGATACAGTATTACAGAGTTAAGCACCAACAGAACTGAGTCCATTTATAGTTTCATTTTCACAAGCGTTTACAAAGCAACACAAAGTTTCTCATGGAGCCAATCACTTAGGGCAAATATTCCTAGAGAGAAAGATCTTTGCCTACTTGCGGAGGAACAACAAAGATAGGGCCAGTCTGGCCTCCTGTGGGAGGAAGTTCCAAAGTCTGGGAGCGTCAACAGAAAAGGCCCTCTCTTGTCCCCCCCATCAGATGCACCTGTGAAGGAAGGCCTCTCCTGTTGATCTGAACAACCAAGCTGACTCATAATGGGAGACGTGATCCCTGAGATAGCTATTTGTGTTCAGAATGGCAGCCAGTGGAGCTACTGTAACATGGCGATTATATGATCCCTGTAACCAGCCCCGGTCAGAAATCTGGTTCCTGCATTTTGGACCAGCTCAAGTTTCTTGACAGTTTTGTTTTGGTGGAAAACAAGAGGCAGAAGCAGCAGTGGTAAGGCATAGGATAGTTACAAATTTACTGAATGATGCACTGGCAACTATTCCCTTCTTTTCAAGAGGTTTGGTTGCCTGGAGATGACTTAATATAGCATGGTCAAAAGGCTCTTGGATCCATTTATTATTTAACTGCTAAATAAATAAAGGTCCTGTTATTTCAAAGTTGCTTGTAGCAATCATTTTCTATCTATCTATCTATCTATCTATCTATCTATCTATCTATCTATCTATCTATCTATCTATCTATCTATCTATCTATCTATCTATCTATCTATCTATCTATCTATCTATCTAATACCAGTATCTATGAACATGGCTACTTGTCAGTACAAATTTCCCATGGGGAGCCATGTGAGTTTCTAGTCTGTTCCAAGAAAATGACCAACGAGTCTTGTGCGGATGGACATAACATGTCTTATTTGACATGATTTTTTTGTGAATATCAAGCTGACGGCCACAAGAGCTTGTTTCAAATAAATCTTGTTAATCTTTAAGGTGCCAGAAGACCCTTTGTTGGCAGCCTGGTGTTCTTGTAAGGCGGCTTACAGATATGGGAAGATATGGGAAAGGTGGTTGTGGGATTTTTTCTGCCTCACGTGCGGAACTCAAATCTTTCTCGGGAGACATTGTCATAGCTACGCCTTGAGTGTCCGCCCGCGGGCGTGTGCGTACGGGTCAGGAGGAGGATGATGACAATTTGCTCCTGCGCCTCAGGTTATCGAAATGTCGCGGTTTTGCGCGGGCCTTGAGAACGCATACCTAGGGCATGGCTTTATGTGACGCGCACTGGTCACGCGGGGCAGGGTGTAGAATAAGTAGGCTCGTCAGAGAGACACGATCACACGGGGACTGAAGGAGCGAAGGCAGCGGGACGGGGCTTGCGTGGGACGTTGTGGAGGGCGTCTGGGACCGAGGACAGCCGCTGGACTTCTGCCCTGGTGGCGGCGTCCATTTTTTTGGCGCTTGGCTACAGCCAGCTCTCAGTAGGGTAAAGGGAGAGCCTTGGAGCGCGTCTCGCATAGGCGGCAAGAGCAGCTCAGGCCCCGCCTCCCCTACACGGAGGGCGGGCCGGCCATTGCCGCCGCGCTTCCTATCCTCCGGCACATAACAACTCTGGTAAACCAGCGACGAAGGCAGAGGTCGGAGGTGCTGCTGGCTTGGGAGGGTGGCTGCCGAGGGCGCTGCTCCGTCGCGTCTGCGGAGAGCGGCTCTGAACTCTCGAGTCCAGCCGCACAGATTTCCTAGGACGAGGAGGGAGCGAGAAGGCCGGCCGTGGAGGGCTGGCCGGGCTACGAAAGCCCACCAGAGGACGGAGATTATTGCTTGGGTTTCTTCCTCCGCTCCTGATCCTCGTCCCTCTGGGTTCGCAGAGACCTGAGAAAGGTGGCAGATCGACTGGCGAAGGAAGGAAAGACAAGACTCACACGCGGAGAGGGGAGGACTGGACGAGCAGCCGCCCTGCGAGGAACCGCGCATCCCTCCCGAGGATCGGGTGCAACCCCCGCCGAAATGTTCCACTGAGAACGGCTCTCTTTTTTTTGCCCGGGATCCGCAGCGTTGGGATGTCGCGCTCCCACCCCCGCTGTATTGCTGGCACTTTTTAAGGGCTTGCTCTGGTGGATCCGTTCGGTCTTGCCTCTCTTCAATGTGGGACACCACTTCCTCGTCCTGTCAGAGGCGATCGGGACAGGGAACGCCTTCCCTCCCAATAAACGAAAGGAAAGGAGGCTGGCTTGTTGACTAGCAGGTTTTGTGACGGACTGCCCTTGCGTGTTGCATGCATGCCTCTGTGTGCGTTCAGAATATTTTTTAACTTTCCCTTGTGTTTCGCTGGTGAAGTCCCATTCAGAAACCAGCTAATAGCCCAGCGGCTGCCAAGTTTGATTTTAAGCGCCGTATTTACAGCCCCTCCTCCCTCTCATGAGGAAATATTTGTGTTTAGGTTTTTCATTGAGGCCCTTTCCTTTTAGCTCATCTTCTGAAGTGGCCTGACTGGTAGTCATTTTGACTTGAGTGCCAAGCACCAGTCCTCCTGGAGAACAACCATATTCCATTAGAGCAGCAAGACTAAAACTAAGTGACCTTGGATTATTCTGCTGTTCATACAAACAATGGGGGGTAACCTTGGCTGTCACCGCTCCATCCCCAGAGACCCCTCAGACCTATGTCACAGTCGTAAATTTAGTGCAGCATGCAACTTCAGCAACATCCTGGTGAACCAGGAGAGACTCAACATCAATACAGCCACAGAGGAGGAACTCATGACTCTCCCTGGGATTACCAGAATGGTCGCCCAAAACATTGTGGAATATCGAGAGTATATTGGTGGCTTCAAGAAAGTTGAAGACTTAGCCTTGGTGAGTGGGGTCGGAGCTGCCAAACTAGAACAGGTAAAGTTTGAAATCTGTGTGAGCAGCAAGGGCAACTCTGCTCAGCACTCGCCCAGCTCTTTGAGAAAGGACCAGCACCTCGACCAACTTTCTGCTGCTAAGATCAATATTAACACAGCCACACCTGCTCAACTCATGAGCATCCGTGGCATCACAGAGAAAATAGCCAACTGTATTGTTGAGTACCGTAGAGAGCACGGTCCCTTCAAAAGCATTGAGGATCTAGTCAAAATGGACTGCATCAACTCGTCATTTTTGGACAAAATCCGGCAGCAGATCTTTGCGGAGCGGTCCAGGCCTCCTTCAACTAATACCAACGGTGGCCTCAATTTCACGGTCAAGCCTCACCCAAGTCCCACCTCATTAAGCCTGCAGAGTGAGGATTTGGATTTTCCACCAGGAGGGCCAACTCAGATCATCTCCACACGGCCCACAGTTGAAATGTTTGGTGGGCTGAGGGATGGAAGGCCTGTGGTGAGGGTGGCCACTTGGAATCTGCAAAACTGCTCTGTTGAAAAAGCCAACAATCCTGGGGTGCGTGAGGTTGTGTGCATGACCCTGCTGGAAAACAGGTATGGGTGCTGTGGAAATGTTTTAGGCAATTAAGCAGTGTTTGCGGTTTTTCTCTTCCTTCACTCCTAGTTTCTTAGTTCAGTATCTGTGTTTTTATCCCAATAATTAATCCTGAAATCTGACTCAACCATTCCCTTTTCACCTGTAAGTCTATAGATTGGGGTCTGGGGATTTATATCCCATAGATTGTCAAGTGTTGTTGGATTGCGGTTTCCATCATCCCTCACCATTGGCTGTGCTGTCTGGGTATTAATGGGAATTGCAGTCTGACATCTGGTTTGCTCACCCCATCATAGACAAACCTGTTAATCTACAGACCCACTGTCATGTGTTTATAGTCATGCCACCTCTGGACATACTGTAATGATCTTTAATTTAAACCTTATTGATCTCTGTGGAATTTTGTGCAGAATTTTTTCCTTGTTAACAAAAATCATGAATACCACCAAGAAGCAGAAACAACTGTTTTCCAAGTACAGTAGATGTTACTAAGGTCTCTCTTCACAGCTTTTGTTATCCCAGAAAAAGCATCTGTTCAGGTTGTCTCAGAAAGAAAATAGCCACCTTACTCAATAGGTTGCTATGTGGTAATTAAGCAGTACTGTTTCTGAAAGCTCTCAAGATCAGCTTTGTCATTAGGTAGAGTTAAGTGGCTGCCTCAGGCAGCATGCTTTGCGTGGCATGAATGGGTTTCAAATTGTTACTAATTTACCTTTCTAATGTATTTTTAAATGTTTGTCTGTTTTTCACTGCGAGGGATAGGAAGCAGTGTTTCTGGGTTCTCTGCCTTAAGTGCCAGAGTAATTTATGGGTACTGTGCACTTTGATTTCAGTGGTTGGAAGATACCATTTGCTGCTGTACCTCTTGGTTAGATCGTGGAGATTTAGTTTTCTCTCTTACTGAATTTCTTCTTCTTTTTATGACTGTTGAACTAAACAGCACAACCACCCTTGAGTTTTTGATTTATGCTTGGGTAATTTAACCTGAAGATCTTAGGAGAGAACAAGGTTCCACTCAGCTGGTGCATTCTGTTCCTGGGGTTTCACTTTTTGGCAGAAACATCTTCATCCAATTTAGATTCAGTTTGTTCCATTCACATGAAAAAGTGAAAAGTGGGAGTCTGATTAAAAAGTAGAAGGGACATGTGGCGAAATCCATGTTAATCCCTCCTCCTCCTGTCCACTGTAGCTTCCCTACAATCTGTTTCAAGTGAAAGTGAGCAAGGCTGGGCCCAGTACACTTGAGGAGGTGGGCAGATAGGAGAAGGTACATTCTGCACTCCTGTGCCCATTTTGGTCTTTAAACTGGACGTCACCCTGCTTTCTGTATGACCGGGGCAGGGCCACGGTTAATCACACATGTAGTTTGAATCTGAGGTTTAAGTAGCTGTGGACCAAATTCTGTGCACCTGAGAGTCCAAATGGATCAGATTTTTGAATCTTGATAAATGTAAATAATGATTTAATTGTGAATCTACACGATAGAGCACTTTACCCACATTGGAGCTATAAAAGCTCTTCCATGCTAGCCCATGCCTGGGCCAATTATACACCTGTAGTTTGTGGCCAAATGGCCATGCTGATGTAAACCTTCACTCCTTTTGTTGACTTACACAGGCCAGCAATATGGCAGCATATCAGTGCTCAACACATGAAAGTGTCTTGATATTTTGTGCATCAACGTTCATGTTTAAATCAGCTGCAAAGTGAATGTACGAGAGCCAATCCATGTTTCCAATCTGAGCTACTTCCTGTAGAATTTAAATTCTCTTAGTAATATTTGAGTCCACAGATTCAGGGCAAAGATTTCTTTGTCCAGCGGTGAGAATATTGAATGGTCACAGTGAAGTTACTGCAGACATCTTTTCAATTAGCTTAAAAAAAGATTAAGGCAGTGTGCTCAAGGAGCATTGGGAAACTGCCTTATATAAGTCAGAGGATTGGCCAATGTAGTACTGTACATTATTTGTTGTACTAATTGGTAGTGGCCGTCCAGGGTTTTAGGCAAGGGTCTTTCCCAGTCCTACCTAGAGATAACAGAATTGAGCCTACATTCTTCTATAAATAATGCATGGGCTCTGGCACTGAGCTGTGTCCCTTCTGTGTCCTGAAGTATGCGTTTCTATGGCAAACATTGCTTGAAAACAGTGTGGTGTTCATCCAAAGTCCAGTAAGGGGTGAATTCATTATTCTTGATGTTGAAGTAATGCTGTTTGTCATACATAATTCTTTTCTCTTTTTTCCATTTCATCATGAAAAGCAAGTTGTCTGTTTTTCCAGTAAAAGCTGGGTTCTGAAGGAGATACTGTACAATTAAAAAAACACACCAGTGATTGCTTTCTCAGTTTCTGGTTGGGAAAAGTATATCGAAAAGATGTAGTTGGATATTTTAGGCTAAAGTGCTTTCAGATTCATAATTGATTATATTATTATTACTAAAGTACTTTTATTTCTATATTTTATTTGTACTTCAACATGCATTTGGATGATGGCTGTTGTTCCCATGGCCACCGTGTGGAGGTTCATCTGTTTGCTAGATTATGTTGTAGTGTGTTTTGTTTCGTTCATAAGCCCTATGGAGCAATGAGAAGTTTGTTTGTGTTGGATCAGGAGGAAATAATGAGCAATTGAGACATTTGGTAACGAAGACTGTGCTGCAATCATCTTGTTTTGCAACATAGTGTTGTGTGATCCAAAATGTATGAGAAACCTATACGTATTACTGTAGAAAGCATACCTGGTTTTGAGAATTTCCCCATAATTTATGGGAAGCTTTGTAAATTGGGAATGACTGATTATGTAAGTTGTGAACAAGTTGGGATGTATAGTTATGACACAGTGTAGCACTTTTAGCGACAAACTATTTCCAAGTCCAGTATATATCTACAGCTGTGTGCGTTATGTGCTTTCAAGTTGAAACCAACCAACAACAACCGTAACAGAGCTTTTAAGGTAAGTGAGATATTTAAGGAGCAGCTTTACCAGTGCCACCCCCTCCCGGGAATTTTCATTGCCAAGGAGGAATTTTAACCCAGTCTCTTGAGCCCATCTATCTCCTGCACCACGCTGGGTATCTATACCTACAGTTCATTTTGTGATTCTAAATATGGGAACACATGGGACTTGAAATATTTTTAATATTAGTTATATTTCTATCTTACCTTTCTTCCAGTGAGCTCAGGGCACCATATGTATTTCTCCAACTTTTCCCATTTATTCTCACAAACACCCTGCATGGTGCGTTAGGCTGAGATAGAATGATTCATCAGAAATCCCCCAGCTTCTTTTTTGACGGGGAATTTACGCCCTGGTCTCCCCAGTACTAGTTACATGCGTATAACTACTACATCAGCTTGTTATACCTTGAAAAATGCCTTATATAGACTTACTCTTTCTTATTACAAACATTCATTCAGTTTGTGATGGAGGCCAGTGAATGTGCTTTCAAAAATGTAGTTCCCATTATCCAGTCGAATTTATTCCCAAGTAAACATGTGTGGAATGCAAGTTCTGATCATGTAACTATGCTATCATGGTATCGCCTTTCCTGTCCTGTGCCACAAGGTTTAGGTGTAGGAAATAGCTCACACTTGAACTCCCAAGATCTAGAAGACTAACATGTCCTGAAAAAGACAAGCCAGAACTCTTCTATCTGACATTCCAGGTTTTTTTGAACAGGGAAACTCAATATTGAAGCAGAAAACATGCTGTTGAAGTTTGAGATTGTAGGCTTCAGATAGAGATATATAGTCTGTTGCCTCCATGTTTGTCCTAAAGAAGTCACTCAATTGAAATCAGAACAGACTTCCATAAATGGTTGTCCTAAAAGAAGTTGCATCCCAGTCTCTGATAATTATTATTGGGGAGGAAATTATTCTGTTATAACTCAGATGATAAATCAAGCAGCTGCTCATGTTAATTAACTAGAGTTGTTGACTTTTTTACTGGGTTTGTTCCTTTTTACAGAAATTTCCAATAGGCAAAACTTCCTGGTGTGGCAGTGAGTGATGGGAGGAGTTTTCCTGTGCTTGTTTTGTGTTATATCAGAAGGTAGTCAAAGGCATTGGCCACATAGACTGTGAAGTTGGCAAACTTCCAATGAAGATAAGCTTCAGATGACAATCAGGAATAGCAGTTGATTCCAATTGCATGACTATGGGCAGTCCTGAACTGGTGTCCTGACACTTCTTGACTCCAGACATATAAATGAGGTACAAAGATGAATGTAATATGACTCAGCAAGACTAGATTAGGCCAGTTTCATGTGTAATTTATCAATTTATCTATCATACGTGGGATTTCCCTAAGCTGTTTAATCATATTATCCTCAATTCTAATGCACTTGCCTTCCTGCAAATTCCAGTAAAAGTGATATTTGAGCACCTGTTAATATTGGGACGCACAGCTTGCAGTTCCTGGGTCTCACTTAATCTTTCCACATTTGAGACACTCAGTTGGGTGGCAGGGCAAAAGCTGCCATTCTGATGCTCCTGAACTGTATCAGCCTTCCTTGTATGATGAATTCACCCTTTGCTACTAATGGTGGTAGAGAAGCTGTGACCTCATTGGAAAGATTACTGGAGACTGAGAACTTTCACTTCCACTCCCTCCAGTGCTCACTAGATTTCCCAGAGAGGAAAGGTAAAATTTTTTATAACAACATGGAGAAATGGGGAAGAAAAGAATGCATGCAGGCATACTTGTGTATTGAATATGGAAGGAGGAATGTGCAAATTTGTGTGCATGTGCATAGGCAGCCCCTGGCTTCAGAGTCAACCCTAGGTCCAGTGCACGGGACTGAAAAGGTTCTAAACCAGTGGTTCTCAACCTTGGGTCCCTAGATGTTCTTGGACTACAACACTCAGAAATTCTGACCAGCACAACTAGTGGTGAAGACTTATGGGAATTTTAATCCCAGAACATCTGAGGATCTAAGGTTAGGAATTGGTGGTCTAAACCCTAATGTATGTAGACTTGTGTAGCAGACTTTCTTTGTTTT